ACCCAGGGCTGGGATAGCAGCAGATCCTATGGTTAAGAGCCTACAAGACTGCCTCCCTCCCACTTCCAATGCCAACCTGGACTTCTGACCAACTGGCTATAAATCAGAGGTTTCCATGACAACTCCCTCTGGCTAGATTGGCTAACAGAACTCAGAAAAACATTTTACTTACTAGATCATCAGTTTATTATGAAAAGCCAGTTGGAAAAGATGCATAGGGCAAGGTATATGGGAAGGGGCACAGAGCTTCTATCCCCTCTCCAAGCGCACAGTTCTCCCCACATTCCCACCTGTTCACCAAGCTGGAAGCTTTCTTAACCCTGTCCTTGCTGAGTTTTTATGGAGGCTTCATTACATAGGTATGATTGATTAAAAATTTAGCCATTGGCAATTGAACCCAAGAGGTGTGAAACTGGAAGTCCCAGCCCTCTAGTAACATGATTGATTCCACTGGCTAAGAGCCTTCCTCTGGTTCCAAGTCCCTTCATCAACATAATGAAAGATACCTTTATGGCTCTCGTCCCTTAGTAAATTCCAAGGGTGTTTTTGGGCCTGGGCTGTGGTGGAGACTAAAACAATAGAAATGTATTCTTTCCCAGTTCTGGAGTCAGAAATCTAAAGTCAGGGTTTGGACAGGGTTGGTTCTTTGGAGACCCAGTGAAACTGCCCCATGCCTCATGCCTCCTCCTAGCTTCTGGTGATTGCTTGTAGTTCATGGTGTTCCTTGGTTTGTAGATGCATCACTCCATTCTCTCAACCTCTGCCTACATCTTCACATGGTTTTCTCCTCTCTGTCTCCTGACCTTTTCTTCAAAGAACACTTGCCATTTGATTGAGAGCTACCCCAATCAAGTATGATGCTATCTCAGGATCCTTAACTAAGTGTTTTAGGAGCTCTGTGCCAGAAATGGGGATGAAAACCAAATATATATTTGTTATTATGCATTACAGCACCGCAGGCTATAACTCCAAATGTTTAGAAAGTCACAAAATGGCATAAGGACGGCCTGGATTGGAACCTCAGCCCCAGGGTGGATTTTCCAAGTAAGAAATGGGCCCCAACATTCCTGTGGAAAGTTCTGGGTGCTGATTAACCTCAAGGGCTGAGCCAGCCAATCTGATTTTGTAGCACTGCTTGAATAAGGGAAGTTCTCAAGGGTTAAGACTCCTAGACACCCTTCTTTGGGTGATGGGGCATGAGAGCAGGGATCTAATTTATACCTTCCCTCCGTTCAGACTACCTGTGTTCCAGTGCCATTGACTTCCCATGTTTTTGGAGATAGTCAAGCGAGCCTGCTTTTTTAAAAATATTTTTAAATTGATTTCAGAGAGGAAGGTTGCTGGGGTTCTTGTCCCAGCATCAAGGAGGATTCAGGAATCTGGAGAAGACTGTGCATAGATTTTAAATAAGAGTCCAGAGACGAAATATAATTTTGAAAGGCATTTGGGGATCAAAGGAGCTTAGCTAAAGGAGCTAAGATCCAAGATCTAAATTCTCAGGTCTTCTCATCCCAGGACCCCATGCTTTTTATTAACACAATTTGTCCTGAGGCAAGGCAGAGATATACACTTCAAATGGTCAGGGTTTCAGTACAGAGTCCATTGTCAGAATCAGGGAATTAGCCTACGGCTGTTCGGGTGTTTGGCCAGTAGGTGGCAATAACATGTAGATTAAGATGCCTTTTAGCTGTCTGGCAGCCAAGAATCAATTAAATGTATCCTATTCAGGTTTGGAGAAATGCCCTCAGCCATTCCCAGATGCAGCCCTGCTGTACATGCTGGAATTGGTCTCCAGCAGAAGGTAGAGGGGGAGAGAGATAGAAACATCAATGATGAGAGAGAATCATTGATCGGCTACCTCCTGTACGCCCCCTATTGGGGATCGAGCCCACAACCTGAGAATGTGCCCTTGACCAGAATCAAACCTGGGACCCTACAGTCCATAGGCTGACACTCTATCCACCGAGTTAAGCCAGCTAGGGCTGGGCCTGCTTTAAGGGCTTTCTATAATCAGAGAAAATATCTGTGCAGCCCCAGAGCAGAGTCCTTCTCAGTAGGCTCCATTCTCTTGACTTTCTCTGTAGAATATCTCTAACTCTGGCCTCATGAAACATTTCTGAAGTTATCTTTTAAAGGTAAATTATGCTTAAGATATTTATTAATAGGAAGAAAAATAATTAAAAAGTAATGCTTAACGTGCTAGGCAATTTACATGTCTTCTCATTAACCTAGTAAGTGATTACAGATATCCCCATTTCACAGATAAAGAAACCAAGGTTCAGTAATTTTACCTTCAAGTAGGTGCTGAAACAGAAACTCCAAATGCAGATCTGCTTGGCTCTGATGTCTGTGCATTTTTTTTTTCATCACAACACATATTTAGAATGTTTATTTGGAATGCAAATTATGAGTTTGGAAGTTCAAATGTGATCTACAGCTAACAACTTTTCTTTTTCTAGCCAACTCCTGTAAGGTACAAAGTTGGAGACATGACAGTCCCTACAGCAATGTGGACTGGAGGTCAGGACTGGCTTTCAAATCCAGATGATGTGAAAACACTGCTCTCCGAAGTGAACAACCTCATCTACCATAAGAACATTCCTGAATGGGCGCACATAGATTTCATCTGGGGGTTGGATGCTCCTCATCGTCTGTACAATGAAATCATACATATGATGCAAGAGGAGGAGACCAGCCTTTCCCAGGGAATGTGTAGGCTCAAACTGTGAAGCATCTGATACTGACAAGCCGTAGGAAAAACCTTGTGGACCATGGGGCTGGGGCCCATGAACAGAGGATGGATTTCAGGAATTGAAAACCTATCCTATCAGTAGAAGGGAAGAGGAGAGGGGAAGGAGGCAGGAAGTTGACTATATATTCCTTCAGGTTTCCTGTATTTGGCACAAAAACTGACATTAACTTTTTTTTTTTAGTTAATTAAACTGCTCATTGGCTGAACATAGATTTCATGTGCTATTATATAGTCTACCACTTAAAGGGCAGGCTTTATTCGAGAGCTAGAAATTATCAAAACATTCTCTATGTCACTCAGATAAACTTCCCTAAAACATGTACTTATTTGCCTACAAGCCATACTTTGGGAATAAAGTAAACTGAAAAATTGGGATGAGAGAGAGGTCTTGAATCTCTAGATTATTGTTGACTTTCACAAAATAAATCAGACATTTTCATCTTATTGCCATAGAGACATAACACTACCTCAGAAAGCCAAGCTACTTTAAAAATAAATAAATAAATAGATAGATAGATAGATAGATAGATAGATAAATAAATAAATCAACAAACAAAATAAAACAAAAAAATCAATGTACAGTGTGGATAAAATAAAATTTAAGCATCTTCAAAAGGGTCAAGTTGTATCGTTGAGTTGCAGATGTCATACTTTTGTAGAATTTTTATGAGTTTTCCAATAAATGCAGTATGCACTGAGTAAAGTATGTATGTGTATTTGAGTGCCTAAATTCTAGTCCAAGCTTGTTTGGGGGTTGCAGAAGACCTTTTGATTAGAAATGTATGACCCAGCTTTCTGCCTCCAGAAATGAAAAGCTGGGAAGAAAACTTTGTAATGTCAGCAACATAATAAAATGAATTGTCATGTATTTTATCCTTTGATCTTGACAGAGTTACTGTTAGACAATTTCCTTGCTCATTAAAAATATCTGGTTATTTCTTTAAAAAATTGTTCGCTTTTCACACAGTTTAAAATATGACAGATATAAAGTATACGAGTAATAGTACAATTTTGCAAAACTCTGGAACCAATAGCTCAATTTTTTAAAAATATATTTTTATTGATTTCAGAGAGGAAGGGAGAGGGAGAGAGAGAAGCATCGATGATGAGAATCATTGATTGGCTGCCTTTTGCATGCCCCCTACTGGAGATTGAACCAGTAACCTGGGCATGTGCCCTAACCAGGAATTGAACAGTGAGCTCCTGGTTCATAGGTGGATGCTCAACCACTGAGCCACGCCAGCCAGGCTAAACAAACATCTTGATAGTTACATAGTCTTGGTCAAAATCAAGATAGCCTTTATTTGTAAACTCATAGCAAAATGTTCAGCAGTGTGTTGGTAAACTGGTTCTCGAGAAAGAAAAAAATAAAAGGCTTGATTTTAGCATTTGCCAATTTCAGTGGTGAAAACTGCCACCACTGACAACTGATAAATGTTTTTGCTGAAGTTGTTTTGCCAAAGGAACATCCACATGTGAACCTCTAAACCCACACGCATACACACACCATCCTATACAAATGTACACACTTCCGCCCCTCTTACTACTTAAGGGGGCCTGAGAGGAACAGTGTGTCCTGGGCATGGTATGGACAGGACAGCCTCCATCAGAGCACACAGCTGAGAAGAGATCACTGTCCAAAGTAATGCAGATCCTCTACTTCAGGAGAGACTGATTTTGAAGCATCACATTTTGTCTGAAGTGGAGAATTCAACAGCTTTAGTGTTTCCCCTGGAAGGACTGGGGCCATGGTGAAGTCCATTGACTTCAAAAACATGACTACAGAGCTCTTCAAAAGCGTTATCCGTGGCAACCATCATCATCGCCATAAAATGGCTGCATCCAGTTGAGTGGCCCGCAGACCAATAGTCCAAGATGCAGACAGGATCCAGGCCTTTAACTGTTTCTACTTCCCCATCTGAGGCCACAAGGGTTATGATGCTTTCCTTAGCATTAATTCAATCTGGGAAAATTTTAATCTTCGTGCAATATCCAGGGAGCTCTCACCATTCTGAGGAGAAAAGAAATGATAGTTTCTTAAAAGTCCAGCCAACAGTTTAGACTGATGGACTCTCAGGCTTGGCCAAGACTTTAAATGTTATCCAGATCTAACAGTAATAGGACAACTTAATTTTTTAATAGGATGATTAATTTTGTTGTTTACATCAGAAGCAATTAACTTAATTCCACACAAGGCCGAAGTTAGAAGATCATGAGCTGGGGGAACTTCAGGCCATGGGGCCACCGTTTCTTACCTTATTTCTTACCGCGGGGTCTGCATGGGCTTGAAGGAGCAGTGGGATAAGAGTCTGGTTTTTCATTTCGCAGGCATAGTGTAGCGCCGTGCATCCGTACTGAAACACAAGGGAACAACACTGCAGCTCACCCCTCCGACTCTACAGACCGTAGCATGAGGCTTCTTAGTAAGCTTAGCAAGTGCTCTTCACCTTTCATAGGAAACAATAAGCAAAACAGTCTGCAGCCATCTATGTGCAAGGGTATTTCTTGTTCTTAAAGTCTTTTTTCTGCCTCAATATGTACATTATTAATGTTCTATAAGCCATCAATACCTTCCTTTCTCATTTTCTGTTCAAACTAAAAAATATGCAACTTAAAAAAGGCGAATGCTGAATTTCTTGGGATAATTTCTCTACGTCTGGCCAATCAGCATTGTGATCATGTGACCATCTCTTCCCTTAGAGTCTCCATATGGGCCACTTTGAAGATATCATCCTCTATGGTATTTTATTTTAAAAAATCCCCCAGTCTGTGGCCCTTGCTCATATTTCTATAGCTCACCTGCAAGACCAGTGCAATTTGACATAGAAATTTCCCATACTTGGTTTGTTGTAGCTTATATTATGTACTAGAGGCCCAGTGCACAAATTCCTGAATGGGTAGGGTCTGGCTGGCCCACCCTGATCAGGCTGATTGGGCCAGGGTAGGCGGGGGGAGGGAGGACATGGGAGGTTGGCCAGCTGGCCCTGCCCCTGGTTAAACTCCTTGTTGAGGGGGCAATTTGCATATTAGTCTTTCATTATATAGGATTATAAAATAATGGATCTACCTCATTGGCACTAATTTAAAACACTAATTACAGATTAAAAGAAATGTACAGCTGGGACATTTGTGCTAAAATTTTTGCCTTTCAAATTCAAACAACCATGGTTTTGGTAAATGAAGAAATAATATCCTTGACTATAAAGATTATCAGGATTAACTTTGGACCTTTTTCCCTAGAAACTCCTCTAAGATCATAGGAAATAATACTGTGATCTTATTTTTTTATTAAGTGATGGCATGAAGAATGCAAGATCTGACTCTGAATTTTTCCATGTGAAATAAAGTCTAAAGGACATACACTGTATTACTTGGAGTTGGAACTTGGATCTTAATATACAGGTAGTTTTTTTTAAATGGTGGTAAAATATGTGCATGTATGTGCATATATGTATGAGCATGCACAGGAATGTAATTCTCTAGAGATTAGAGACAGGCATAGATAACTAGAAAAATGTCTTAGAGAAATTTTGTTCACGAGCAAAATTTTAAACATTTTTAATTACCTTTTACTTAATTTCAATGACATCTTAATATATTTCAAAGTTATCTAAGAAAATGATGATTCACAGTAGTGGTCCATCCAAATTAATCAAAAAATTATATTTGAAATAAAAGGAAAAGCATACATTTCATCAACTTTCTCTCTCTCTCTCTCTCTCTCACACACACACACACACAGAGAGAGAGAGAGAGAGAGAGAGAGAGAGAGAGAGAGAGGGAGAGAGAGAGAGAGAAAAACAGAAAGAGCGAGAATTAGAACTACCTCCATTTAAACATGATACCAATATAACCCAAACTAAAATTATGTAAATGACTAATAGAAACAGGGATGGGGACATTTTCTCTATCACAGAACATAGAATGGTAGTATATACAGATGTGTACAACAGAAATTAGGGATCATAAACAGAATATTGGTTATTTTTAAATCGACTTTTGACTGGCCGACTTTTTCAGTAAAGCACTAGAAACAAAAAATGTCATTTAATCAATATAAGCAAATAAAACTCCTTACAAATAAATTTTTGAAACACTTCTGATCATGTAAGGGAGGAAGATGAGTTCCAGGGTGCAGTTGTAAAAGCTGAAAGCAAAACCTTATATTAGGAGGAAGTTAGCTGAGGCAGTTCCTGTTGTTACCACTGCTCTTACCATCGTTTGGATGTTTCCTTGACCCTTGCCCTTAGTTTTCTTTAATTCACAGGTGGGGAGACTCTTTCCTGATTGGGATCTTGGCTTCAGTAGCAGCTGCTAACGTTCATTGAGCACGTACCATGTGTCAGGCACTCCGCTAAGTGCTTTACAAGAATCAGCCCTGTAACTTATCAATGTGCTCATGTTACAGAGTAGGAAACAGAAAGACGAGGAAGTTTATAACTTGCCAAAATGCACACAGGTAAAAAGTGGCAAGCCTGGGTTTACCCGAAGGCATTCTGACTCCAGCCCCTTAACTACCAAGGAAGAATTTTGTTATTAAAGCCTTCATCATCCTTAACTTCTCACAAATGGTGAAGCAGTTTTTTTTAATTCAATAGTTCTGTATTCAATAAAGATGTTATTCCCACGAGTTTAGTGGCTGCATATAAACAACCTCAAGATCACCTAATTGGCAGTGAAAAAAGAAATGCAAGATGTCAAGGAAAATAAAGGGAGCAGCTTTATATATGACAATACCTACGGATACCACTTTGGATATTATTTCACAGGGACTAGAGGTACAAACTTACACAGTCTGCAGCATTAATGTCCACGCCAGCATCAAGGAGCATTCGGACAAGGGTCTCATTCTGCTTTGTCTTGGAGACCTATGGCAAATGGCAAGTACAAGAAGTTTGTTTACAAACTTTTTCTTTGTCTTATGTCTGGATTATTTCAATTAATAGGCTTTATTTTAATCCCAATACCCGCTATGTGCCCATGTACTATTGATTGATTGATTTGGCTACCTTCCCTCTTGCTTTATTCTTTAATCACAGTATCGTATGTATGTTGGAAATGTCACTTATAGAATACAAGCCAAGAGCTTATTCTGTTACTATTCCTTTACCTCTCTCACTGGCCCAGCAAACCTCGATGGGTCATGCTACTGATCTCCTACTCATTGACCC